TGGACTCCCCTGGCCCCTCATCCCTGCTTTCCCATGATCCCTTAAGCTCTGCAAACCACCTCACTGCATACACACTTAAACACACTACTACATGGAGTATTGTTATAGCTATCAATTGCTCTGTTTTCCACCATCTGTTAAGCACTCTCCCAGCTGTTGTCCACACTCTCCATGCTCAGCAAAATAACAGCTCTACAAGCCGGTGACACGCACACAGAACAGAAATTACACAGGGCCGTGTTTACTAATTACAGACAGAGGCAGGTTTAGTGTCTCGCCACTCTGTAGGTAGAGTCAGTTACCAACCTGGCTGTACAAACATATGTCAACGCCAACGCACTGGCCTTGATCAGTCATGTTCACAGCAGACACTGAGTGATGAGCTGTGTAACTAATAAGAAACACATAGCCAACTGTGTCTGCAGCATTATGTTGAGAAGAGTGCACTTACAGTAGCACTTAAAACCCCTTTTTACTGGCTGGTTACAAAGCAACATTTTGTTTTACGCTGCACCAGCTGTAGAATGTTCCCCTTCTTCCTCGCTTTAACCAGCCTGGTTGAATTTGGCTTCACTCTGGTCCTGTGTGCTTTAGTTTCCATACACTCCACATTTCAAGCTGTGACTATACTATGAATGCTTAACCTGAAAGACAATGTGCTCTCCACCCAGCACATGGTGATTGGATTCAGGCCTTTATATGGGAAGTTCTGGAGATTAAATCACTGAAGGGACAAGCGTGAGCAGGTAGGAATACATGCAGTTCCAGGGACTGAGGCCAGGAACACCGCTGTGTCCAAATGAGGTTTCCATCAACACACTGCCGGCACATGTAAAGGTGTGGCTTTTATACACTGAACATAAGAAACTGCACAAGAAAAGTTGTTTCCACTGTGTATATGTAAAAAAAAGAGCTATTTTGGTACATTAAGAAGTCAAACTAGAATGTGTGCTTTGTGCATTATTAAATATTTGATCATATGGAAGCACTTTGACTGTGACCACATGCTGATCTAATCAAAATAAAGTCCACCCTTTGTGTTGTACTGGACTTTACTAGCTCAGCAGTGACTGTCCAAGAACCCTGGTCTATGTACAACCATAGTGCTTCTGTGATCCAGCCATTTCACTGCATAAGTTATCAAACTGCAGGAGGGGGATACCACATGTTTCAGGAGAGGGTCAGAGTACACTCATCTGCACCATTTCTCAAGAAAGATAAAGGAGAAGTGATCTGATTCTGACTGTCAAACACCAGTCACTCTCTGGGTCTGGCATTTTGGTGCTCACTGCATATTGTACTGATTTGTACACATCTGGGCATGTGGAAAAAAAGGTCATCTTGAAATGTTTGCAGTAAATCTGTGTGCATATTTGGCTGATGCAGTTTTATGCTATAATACAGTTAAAAGCTTCATAAGACCTCTTTGGAGCAAGAGAGCTTCTAGAACACGCATGTCTTCAAGGATTTTGTCAATATTACACGTCTGGATGCAAACTTTTCCAAATGTTTACCGGTCTACAAGTAACAAGGGCTCTACTAGATTTTATCCCCCATCTATGTCAGGGGTTTGCAACAAACTGATCATGTAAATCAGTTGTTCATGATGTTGATTCACGGTCATGTCAAAGATCCAGCATCTCCACAGTTCTGTTTCCTTGAGGAGGAAGATGACATCTGGTCAAAGCGCATCTATCCAGAAAATGATGGCAAAGCCAGAGAGAACGAGAGAGAGAGAGCATCCTATGCACTTTCTTCCTCCTCAGAGACAACTGTCTTTGATAAAGAGTGGGAAGAAAGTGTGACCCACTGCTGCGGACACACACACACACACACACACAGACCTTCATAGCACAAAGGACCTCATATGCCTTGTCTGTGAACACAATATGAACACCCTTTGTTAACCTCACTGTTTATGGTGACTGGCAAGTTCACTTAAAGTTTCCATGTCACTTTGGCTTTTTATTAAATGATTCCATATTTGGGCATTACAGCTGTTCACTGTAACTGCAGCTTGGTTGTTTTCATGTTAGGAAACTCTGTGTGACCTGGCATTGGAGGCAGGAACTGCTCCGTCTCCTAGTAGCATCCCCCTGGTTCCCTAAACTGCAAACCATATGGACTCCCTCCCCATGTGAGATGACAGAGGCTGCGGACGTCTGGAGGAGGATGCTGGGGTGTTCTAAGTTAATGGGTTAACCTGGATGGGGAGTGGTGGAAGTGGATTAGAGCCTGTTTGTTTCTGTTCAGACACGTCATTATACAGTGAAACAGAGAATGTTTTTCTCTAAATCAGTGCCAGAACAAAAATGTTTTATGAAAAACACAACTTGGATTTTTACTGCTGATACACCCTCTTTATGTTAAACTCTTCAGATGGAGCTGCATGACTTGCTACCCACCTTTTAAACCAGTTTTAATGTTTTCAGACCTGCTCACGAATATAATTTAATAATTCTGAATTCTGAATGCTGTCCAAAAAAATTAAGGCCACAATGCAATTAGATCATTTAACAGACAGCATACTTCAGCACTGCAATGTGCATGTACTGCTGAATATTTCACATCAAATCTGACAGTGGTTTATTGTTATTTACATCATTTTAGCTATTTGAACCATTAGGAGTCCCAGGAAACCATTAGCCAACCACGCAATGCTAAAAAAGACTTTATCACTTACTTGTTGGGGCTGATTTTAATACTAGTGACTGCATGTGAGATTCAAATTAACATTTGTGGTTTCTAATTGGACAGCAATACCTCTTGCCAAGACAAGAAGTGTTTATTTTTTCAAGACATACTGTTCAGTGGAATGCTGATAGTATTTTTATACCAGAGTAAAGAGTTGTAAACTAGTCCTCATACCACTTCCCCAAAGTTGGATAGCAGAAATCATTTTTACCAATTTTACCAGGGCAACATCGCCTGAGCTGCAGCCCCTGGCAGATGTGCCTGTCAGCAAACAACATGAGACAGCAACAGCTGATCTCATCAGTTTTTCTCTGGCATCAACACTAAATCCAGTCTGCGTCTTTTTACAAATTGGAACATGTCTTCTACTTTGCTGTATAAACTTTGACACTGTGCCCATTTTAAGCTTGTACATTAGTCACAGTAGGCAAAGGGCGCTAATGACCGCACGTCAAAATTCTATCCGTGATGTCACGAGTTAGTAACTGGTGAAATCCAACACCACCAGCTTGAGCTGGAGTGAACACAGATTCCCTTATATCAGTACAAGTCAAGGCACATAGCAGAAATCACCGCCTGGAGGTAGAGACGCGCAGAGCTCTGCGGTTGTGTTGGACAGCACTCAGAGAGAAGTAGCTGAGCTCTTATTCGACTTAACACCGCTGCAGCCCGACTAGCTGTTCTCCAGTCCACTTTTTCTCTGTGCAACTGTTGCGCGTCTTTATTTTGGATAGAAATAGCGTGATCACTGCGCGCCACAGAGCGCAACGCATTTGTGAGGCTCACGCTGGAACGAGTGGGAGATCTCTCCTCGGGACTACAATACGATGAGGAAATTCTGAGGTGGCAGAACTCTTCCGGTCAATTTACACTTCATCTGGCTATTACCAGAGGGTTAGCCCATGAGCAGGTATCTTCTTCAGTGTGATTCTATTTTCACCCAGATCACTGCTGCCTGGACAAATGCATACAAATGCATTTAGGAGCTCAACGGACAAGGAGTGGACACGTTTCCGCGGCAGCAACGTAAGTGGCTGTTTTGGTCAAGTGGTGCACCTATGTTAAGATGTGTATGGGCATTTGGCACAGCACCCAAGGCATGCTTTCATTTAAAATAGCAACTAAATAATTAATGTCAGTTCTGATTCCTCGTTCAGTGACAGGGTCGCCAACAGGCTAAACTAACGAAGTTCAGTCACCATTAGGTTTAGGTTAGAAATCCCCGGACGTTGTTATTACTACTGCTCTTTCCAGGTAGATAGAGGTGTTTTTGCTGACTTTTCATTGTTTAGGCCTGCATAATACAAAGAGTGTGTCCATTCCCATCTGATGACTGTGCTTTTCGTTTTTTTTGTCTTTTAATCACATACATTAGCTATGACAAACTGGGAAATAAACACTGAAACGCGTAGAGTGGAAGAACGAGGATGTCTTGGAAGCAATGATGCTTATCCAGGATGTCGGTGTTAAATCAGCGTTATACTGCAAGATGGTGTAAGCATAAGAACAGCTGTCAGTGACTCAAGATCTAACAGGATTATTAAACTGTGCTTCGGTGTTTAGTCCCTCAGTGGGAAGAAAGACCTTTTGGTGCCTTTAACCTGAAAATTCCTCATGGACGTGTGCATTCCTGACATCTAGCCTTTTGTTTTTGTTGTCTTGTTACATTCAACTGGGACTGTGGAGCTACAGATATTTACATTTCCACAGGCTATCTGCTGTCAGAAGTGAGTCCAAATTGTCTGTACTCTGTTCTGAATCCCTTCCAGACATGATCTAAGCTGAATCTACAGTGCATTCTCTGCTGATATTGTTTGATTGATGGGAAACAAAGTGGGCCTGAACTCCTAAGAGGTTCAGGGTTTTATGTCCTTGAGAGTGAAAATGAGAGCATTATGGGAGAAAAGAGTTGAACAGGAACAAGTGTGGCCTCCTTTGAATTCAAGAGAGTGAGTGTGTATGCATCAGTGGTTAACTGGCTCCTGAGCTCCAGACAATCACCCACTGTTGCAGGCTTTGGTGCTCCATTGCTGGCAGTAGCTGCTGAGATTTGGAATTACAGTACTGTAGACTTAGCTGAGAGCATGTTATGTCCTCACCACTGGCACAGTATAGTTCACATAATAAACTAATAGGTTTTTCAGGAAGTGGAGAAAGGCAGTACTTGGTTCACTGGAAGAGTGTGTTTTGAATAATTACTAATAAAAATATCAAGTACAATGAAAAATACCTCAGAACAGTGGTTGGTTAAAAAATAAAAGTTCAAGAAGATGTCTGCAGCTGCCTCTGACCTGTAGAGCAATGGCAAGTGAAGCATATTTGATTGATCCATCCACTGTGCAGCGCGCTGCAGGCAGGTACAGCTACAGTATATCACTGGGTTTACCAGGACTTTTTTTTCCATCCATCCATCCATTATCTATACTGCTTATCCTGAATAGGGTCATAGGGGCCAATCCCAGCTGACACTGGGCAGGTGGAGTCCACCCTGGACAAGTCTCCAGTCTATCACAGGGTTGACACTTAGAGACAGATGGCCATACACACCCACACTCACTCCAAGGAGGCAATTTAGAGTAGCCAATCAACCTAAAGTAAAACACTCAATAGCAAAGGGTCTTTCAAGAAATAATGTCCTGATTACTCAAGGCAATCCACAGACCTCACTATTTTCTTCCAGTGGTAAAACATGTTTTTTTAAAGATCACAGTGGTAAAAACTGGCCCAAACTTGGTTAAGAAAACCAAGAAAAATGTTTTGATGGCTTCAGTAGCTAAAAGCTTGATTATTCCTGGTGGGATCACAGCCTGCAGCATGCTCCCCTTCTCCACACCAGTGGCTGGAGGGATTTTTGCCGGTATGTGCGAGTGAGTGTGTTTAACCCTCTTAACATTTGCAGGTTCTCTTGCAACAGGAAAAGAGCAAACCAATAAAGGCCAGTGGACGTTTACTCACAGCCCTTTGTCTGCTTGCTGTCTCGTGGACCAAGTCAATCTTTACTTTGCTCTGCAGTTACCTCTTGACTCCAGTCACCAATCTGAGTGAGATGACAAACATGAAGAAGCATCCAGATATGACAGATAGTTTTTGAAATACATGTATCATTATTCATGAATTGCTTGGGGTTAGTGTGATAATGAATTGAAGAGTATTTCAAGCCTTGGCTAATGAAGAGCTTCAAGTAAGAAACTGAAACCTCGAAAATGGTTGACTTGTTAATGATTGCTGATAGCCATTTGGAAACGAGAAGAATACAGGCCCATTTAGTGCTTCCATAATGAAGTCATAATGATCAGGATACAGGTGCTAAGGCTGAAACACAGCCAGCAGGAACAGATAATGGCTGTGGATCAGTTACTTGTTCATGTCCAGGAATGTTTTGGTTGAGATTGAGAAGTATAGCATGTAGAAACAAAACACCTTATTTGGAAGAAACTGATGTTTTCATTGAGAGAAATATCTACTTGTTCGTAGCATGTGGATGGTGTGTGTGAGATGTTGGGTATACTGTCATTTTTCAAATGTCTGACTTGTTTCGCTCACTATTTTCTGCCCTGGCAAAGTGACATATATTGTGAGCCTCAATATGGCTCCTCAGAGTGCTGTGTCAGTTTATCTGTGTCAGAGTTATTTCCTTTCCCTCTGTTTTGAATTCCTCAGCATTTAAAACTTGGGCTCAGCTCAGCCACATTTTTGTATAAACCTCAAGTTTCTGAATGATGACTTTATGAGGATTACCTTAAAGACTACTGCATCTATTGTTGTGAAACTCTGGAAGCTGAAACAATTTTTTCAGTCAAAGGAAGGGATGAAATGGGACAGGTCAGTCAAGGTGACTTCCATCAGGTTTGTTTAAATCAGCCATGCTCAAACAGTGGGCCTCAGAGCGCCATCTGGTGGGCCACAGATTAGTTCTGCAAAGGGCTAGATTAAATTTATTGTTGTTGTTGTTGTTGTTGTTGTTGTTGTTGTTTACAAAGCTAGGTATTAGATGTGCTCAAGAATTCACATAAATAAAAAAGATAAATCCTATTAAAATGCATAATTTCAATGACAAATTGCATTTGAATATCACAATACTGCTCACGACATATCATCAGGAAGTGACAAACATGCTTTACTGCTGCTAGCTACCTAACCAGCCAACGTTTCCTTGGATGCAATGACACAAAATGGATCAGTTTTCAAATAAAAAGTGATGTGGGAGACAACCTTGTGCTACTTAAAGCTCCAAAGCATGTAGTGAGGAAAAATGTTAAATACATACAATGAAGACATTGTTAGATTTTTTTCTCAATTATTTGATAATGTGGTGCTTGGAAAAAAAAATTTTACAATCAAAAGAGGAGGGCCTTAAGTTACAAGTTGAGAACCCCTGGTTTAGGTGGTTGGACATGTCCTTACAAATCACAGAACCTTTGTTTGTTCCTTAAAGAAGTTAAACATTTCAGAGCTGTCAGGGCTGATTAACAGCTCTGTCTGATTTGTTGCTACTAATGGGTTTGATAAGCAGCCTGCCAAATTAGACTTATAAACAGTATACGTTGAACGTCACTGCTCACAAAATCACACCCCTGACAGACATCAGTGATGGACATACGAAAATTGTTTCCCTCTCTCCATGAGGATTGTAAATAGAGCTTAAGTGAGAACTGTTTGCCAGACCAAATTGAACACTTTGCCTCTCAGTTGAATGAACCATTGTTAGGCCTCCAAGCCAATTTTAAGGGGAGAAACACAAGATCTGTTACTTTTGGAAAGATTCATTGCACCGGGGAGTTTTAAGTTGTGATTATTTTTAGTCTTGACTTGACACCCACTCCCCACATAGTGGTATTTCCCTTAGTCAACAGAGCAGTGTTTGGGGAGCTTTGTCTTGCTTTCAGCAGCCTTTTCCATTAACTGCTGAGACTGGGAAGCATGTCATAAAAGTACTGCCACTTAGACGGATTTACCTCAGAATTTAATAAAGAAATGGCAAAAACTGGTGCCTCAGTGCCTTCACTTCCTTATTGTTTGCTCATAAAGAATATAAAAAGCTTGAAACATGTCAAAGGTGATAAATTATTCAAAGCTCATCCTACACTGCGACAGAAAAATGACAAATAGTGGGATTAAGTTGCTGGATCAATTTCAAGGACAGACAAGCAGAAAAGAAGTTGTCTAATTAGCATCAGATGGCCCCAGTTAACGCCTCAAAATAGGAATGTTAAGTGTTATATTTAGTCTTTCTTGTTGTTCTTGTGTTTTGGTCTAGTTTTACCCCTGCCAACTTTTAAGCAGAACCAGCTACTCGCTGGCCTTATAAATGTCAGTTTTATCCTCTCAGATGAAAGACTGTAATCTTATACTCCCTCCCAACCCTCCAGTTCTCATCTATTACTTTTTCCTGTGTTGGGGATATGTCTGTATTCCCGGTTGTGGAATGTCACATCACTGTCTTGATGGGGAACAGGTGCAGCCACAGTTCAAAGTCTGTCTACCTACAATCAAATAAAAAAAATCTTGTCTTTTTCTTGCTATTTCTCCCTCTCTTTCTTTTTCATTTTACTTTTTCTTTTTCTTTTGCCTGTCTGCCTTTTTTCCTTATGCTCAGGTCTGCAACGCCACATTTTTCTGGGAAAACAAACATGGCCGCCTTTCTGTGGATCTCCATCAAACAAGGCCACACAAACACTTGTAGCTTCTTTATTGTGTTGATCTGCTCCTCTAAATCCATGGAGAGATGTTTGTAAGATATTATGCTGTTCATAGCCATCACACTCACGTAACAATCACAATGTAGTTTGAATATAAACCTGTAAACACATAATTGACACAGATTAAAAATAGGAATAAATACTTAAAACACATGGCATCTGTTTTACATGAGGTCTTTGTAATTCCTGCCCGACACTCTACATGCATGTTATTTATGGCTGAGCTGAAAATACTAAATGTACATCAAATCTGTGTATAATAACAAGTAGTTGCGGGTCTTAACAGTTACGATGCTGACAAAACAGAGGAGGGGATTGACAAAGAATACATTAAATGAAAAATAATGAATAATGTCATAAACGTGCATCACATTTAAACTGGTTTATGGATGTGAGCTTAGGCTGTGTGAAAACCCAGTCTGACATTCTTCTCTGGGCTTTATTCTTTAGCCTTTTACTGATTATGCACCGTATAAGCTGCCCTTGTCATTTTGCTATATGGTTGGCAGTGCCACCTAGAGGTGGGGTCAGTTAGGGTCAAAGTGACGCTCTAACTATTAAATGCTACGGTATCAATTTGCAGTGTCAGTAATGTAGGGCTTTACTTCTCACCGAGTGATTATTAAGGTTTGAAATAGAAAATAAATCTTCAAAACTGCAATCTAACTTAAAGAATGTTTCTTTTAGTCTTTTTCCACATCAATATGTGCTCTTGCTGTCTAATAATATGTATGTTTGCATATGAAGATGTGGTTTGTACATTACAGATTCAGTATTGTGTAACTGGATAGCTGCCATCATGTGCATATTTGTGGTTTTTCAGAATACATAAGCAGGTTACCATCTCCTGTGTATCAAAAAGCCAGGTTGACAATGCTTTTGAGGGGCTTTGAAAATTAATTTCTTTTTACAGCTTGAAAAAAAGTCAAAAGCAGGTGTAATGTGTCTCTTTCTAAATCTTAGCTGCTGTCTGTTTGAGGTAACACCTTTGCTGAGGCAAGCTTCTGTGAAAAGCATTAAATTGTTATTATCCATCATTGTCTAGAAACAGTAAAAAAAAGATTGAAAATGCTTCTTGCGTGACTTCTCTGAACATTGTCAGACATCAAAATGTCAAACGCCTTTGTTAGCAGAGGAGTCAAGTTGCCTTCAGGGACTCCAAAGTTTCTTTTTACATGTTCCAACTGTGACTAGTGCTGCAAGTAATTTCATTAGCAGGGAATGTCAAGATTTTATCCACTACATTAAGTTATCAATTAGGTGTTTAGTATACAAAATGAAAAGAATATCCTCAAAGGCAAATTATAAGGTGCCAGAGTTCAGCATGTTTGTCACAATCCCAGTTTCCGTCCTGTCTAGGCCCAAGCATACCACATCCACACTAGTTCCCCCAGAATTTATCGCCTGCTTTGCCACACTGCGCTGCACTGGGGTCCTTCTCCCTCTCAGTTTGCTGTTTCTACATTGATCACAATCGTATCATATAGTATAAAATGTGCTGTGAACATTGTTGCCTCACAAAGAGAAGAACCAAAAAAAAAAAATTACTTGACAATAAGTCATAAATTAATGTTCATATGTGGTGACTTCAATATAGATTTGTTAAATCCTAACAAGCACACAGGAACTGAGGAGTTTAACACAATATATAGATGCAGTTTATACCCAAAAATTACAAAGCCAAGTAGAGTAACAACCCAGCATGCAACACTAATAGATAATATACTTACCAATGTTATTGACAGTAAAATGACAAGTGGATTACTTATAAATGATATTAGTGATCATCTACCAGTATTTGTGGTTTATGCCAGTATAGAAAAGAGAGGCCAAAAACAAATCTTTTCTATAGAAAGGTGACGAATGGACATGCTGTAAGGAGGCTAAAAGAGGATTTTATGGGGCAAAACTGGGAATCAGTTTACAGAGAGGAAGACTTAGATAAAGCATATGAGCAATTTTTAAATATATTTAAGAAAGTATATGACAACAAAAGGAATTACAGTGGGAAACCGTGGATGAGTAAGGGATTACAGAATGCATGTAAAAAGAAGAATGCGTTATATAAGGAATTCATAAAGGACAGATCAAAGAAGGCGGAAGAAAAATATAAGTCATATAAGAA